GACTGTCATTGTCTATAATATATTTACTAATTTGCTTGTTCCTGCTATATACATTAAGTAGTTTCAGAATCAATAATCATGGTCTGGAGTACACACATTTATGTATAGTTGTTTTTATCTGGAGTTTTATAGTATAGGCATACCTCATTTCATCGCACTTTGTTTGATTGTGCTTCCAAGGGTTTTTGTTTCTTGTTTTTGTTTTCAAATCGAAGGTTTATGGCAACACTGCCTCGAGCAAGTCTATCAGCATCAGTTTTCAAACTACGTATGTTCACTTCATGTCTCTGTCACCTTTTGGTAATTTCTGTAACATTTCAAACTTTTTCATTATTATTATATCTGTATGATGATCTGTGATCAGTGATCTTTGACATTACTATTGTGATTGTTTTGAGGGAGGCCCCATGAACTGCGCTCATAGAAGATTGAGAAATTAATCAGTGAATGTTGTGTGTGTTCTGACTGCTCCACTGACCAGCTGTTAGTCCATCTCTCTCCTCCTCCTCAGGCCTCCCTATTAACTGAGACACAACATTACCGAAATTAGTCCCATCAATAACCCTACAATGGACTCTAAGTATACAAGTGAAAGGAAGAGTCACGTCTTTCACTTTAAATCAAAAGGTAGAAATGATTAAACTTCAGTGAGAATGGCATGTCAAAAGGAGAGACAGACTGAAAACTAGGCCTCTTGCTCCAAACAGGTAGCCAAGTTACGAATGCAAAGGAAAAGATCTAGAAGGGCATTTGAAACACTACTCCAGTAAACACATGAATAAGAAAGCCACCCAGCCTCGTTGCTGATATAGAGAAAGTGAGTGGTCTGGATAGAAGATCAAACTAGCCACAACATTCCCTTAAACCAAAGCCTAATCCAGAACAAAGTCCCTAACTCGCTTCAATTCTATGAAAAGAGATGAGGTAGCTGCAGAAGAACAGCTGGAAGCTAGCAGAGATTGGTTCCTGAGGTTTAAGGAAAGAAGCCATCTCTATAACATGAAAGTGCAAGGAGCTGCCATAAGCTATTCAGAAAATATAGCAAGATAATTGATGAAGGTTGCTACACTAAACAACAGATTTTCAATGAAACTGCCTTCTATTGGAAGAAAATGACATCGAGAACTTTCATAGCTAAAGAGAAGTCAATGCCTGGCTTCAAAGCTTCAAAGAACAGGCTGACTGTCATGTTAGGGGCTAATGCAGCTGGTGACTTTAAGTTGAAGCCAATGTTCATTTACCATTTTGAAAATCCTAGGGCCCTTAAGAACTGTGCTAAATCTACTCTGCTTGTGCACTATAAATGAAGCCAAAAAGCCTGGATGACAGCATATCTATTTATAACATGGTTTACTAAATATTTAGTAGGCCCAGTGTTGTGACCTACGGCTCAGAAAAAAAAAGAATCCTTTAAAAATATTACTGCTTATTGGCAATGCATCTAGTCACCGGAGAGTTCTGATGAAGATGTACAGGGACACAAGTGTTGTTTTCAGGCCTGTTAACACAACATCCATTCTGCAGCCCATCGATCAAGCAGTAATGTCTACTTTCAAGGCTTATTATCTAAGAATACATTCTGTAAGGCTATAGCTGCTATATATAGTTGGTCCTCTGATGGATCTGGACAAAGCAAATTGCAAATCTTCTGGAAAGGATTCACCATTCTAGATGCCATAAAGAACATTTCTTAGCTGGGAGCAGTGTCTCATGCTTGTATCCTCAGCAACTTGGGAGTCCAAAGGGGGAAGATCACTTGAATCCAGAAGTTCAAGACCAGCCCGGGCAACATAGTGAGCCCACATCTCTACCAAAAAAAAAAAAAGAAAAAAAAAGAAAAAAAATAGCCAGGCATGGCGACACACACTTGTAGTCCTCCTAGCTAATCAGTTGGCTGAGGCGAGAGGGTGCCTGAGTACAGGAGTTGGAGGTTACAGCATGTTTGCGCCCCTGCACTCAAGCCTAGGCAACAGAGTAATACCATGTCTCTAAAACAACAACAACAAAAAATTCATGATTTATGAGAGGAGGTCAAAATTTCAACATTAACACGGGTTTGGAAGAAGTTGCTTTTAACCCTTATGGATGACTTAAGGGTTTGAGGGGTTCAAGACTTCAGTGGAGGAAGTAACTGTAGATGTGGTGAAAATACCAAGAGAACTACAATTAGAAGTGGAGCCTGATGATAATGATTGAATTGTTGCAATCTCATGATAAAATGTGAACAAATGAAGAGTTGTTTCTTATGCGTGAGCAGAGAAAGTAGTTTCTTGAGAAGGAAACTATTCACAGTGAAGATGCTATGAACACTGTTGAAATGACAACGAAAGATTTATAATAGTTCACTGACTTAGTTGATAAAGCAACAGCAGGGTTTGAGATGACCGACTCCAATTTTGAAAGACACTCTACTGTGGGTAAAGTACTATCAAACAGCATCTCATGCTACAGATAAATCTTTTGTGAAAGGAAGAGTAAATCAATGTGGCAAACTTCATTGTTGTCCTATTTTATGAAATTGCCACAGCCACTCCAATCTTCAGCAACCACCACCCTAATCAATCAGCAGCCATCAACATTGAGGCAAGACCCTCTACCAGCAAAAAGATTACCATTCACAGAAGGCTCAGATGATTGTTAGCATTTTTTTTAGCAATACAGTATTTTTAAAATTAAGGTACATACATTTTTAGACATACTTTTTTGTGAATAATGCTATTCACACTTAATAGACTACAGTATGGTATATATATAACTTTTATATGTACTGGAAAATCAAAAAATTTGTGTGACTCGCTTTGTTGTGATATTTGCTTTATTGTGGTGGTCTGGAACCGAACCTGCAATAGCTCCAAAGTAGGCCTGTATGTATAATTCAAATACTGTTTTACATAGCTGCTTAGGTTAGTGGTTTTATTTCTTATCCCTTTGAGATGAGATTATTGTTATGGGTTCCTCCCACATCCTGGTTGATTTTAATTATTTATCTCTTTTGGGGTGCTAAAATATTGTCATAAAGACTTTAAATTAATTAAGAAAATGGACTCAGATAAATGTCATTTCCTCTTCATCCCTTTTATCCCATTCCCATCTCCCATTCTTGCCATCTGTTATTTACCTACATTCTGTATGTTACCAATTTCATTAGTTTCTAGCTTTTGATTTCTGTATTTGTTTTGGTACAAATGAGAAGACAACACACAAATTCTTACGTATTTCTTTCTTACATAGAATGTTGCATATTGTTGATGCTCTTTTGTACTTTGCTTACGTGAACTTCACAATATATCCTGTACATTTTTTCATATCAATTTCTAGAGATTTTCATTATTTATTTTTACAGCTCCATAGTATTCCGCCATGTAGATATGCCATAGTTTATTCAACCACTCCCCTATTTATGGGTATTTAGATTATTGCCAATATTTTCTAATTATAAACAATGCTACAACAAATTATTGTACATATATGCATTTCAAATTGTTGGGGGCCTATGTAGGACTAAAATTTTGATTTTCTGTTGCCAAGTCCAATTCTGTTTTAGATCGAATGATATAACTGAGAGCACTTTGAAAACTAAAAAAAAAAGGTTGTATACACTAAATATAGCAAAATAATACTTCGTTATTTGCATTATTTTCTTTATCTAATTTAATTGTATCTTCTTTGGAAACAGGCAGTTCAAATCAATAAACACTTGTCCTTAGCTACTAAACCAGACAGTTATTTTGAAAACTTCTCCTATCTTTTAAAATTCTAATATCATCAATCACATATTCCCTCACTAAGAATGTCTTTTTAAACTTTTTAAAATGTTTTGTAGAGACAAGGTCTTACTGTGTTGTCCAGGCTGGTCTCAAATTCCTGGCCTCAAGTAATCCTCCCATGTCGACCTCCCAAAGTGCTGGGATTACAGGTGTAAGCCAACACACCCGGACAAGAATGTTTGGTATTTACTAGCTTTTACTTAACAGTTGAATCTATTATTTGTACAGTTCCTAGTCATAAAATACTCTAGTATTATATTAAATTATTTTTCTCTATTTTATTCCTTTAGATATAGGAGACAAATTAAAACTGCAGCCCTAATCTGGTTCCTTCTACTCCCTACATATGATGTCAAATAGGGTAGGAGGAATAAAACAGGATCATATGGTGCCAGGAGCACTCTCAGGGTTGTCTGACAATGAGTTAGCAAGGCTTGGGGACTCTCCTTCCTCCTGGCAGGAGGAGTTACCCCAAACTCAGCCTCCTTTGGAATTGAGGGCTCTCAGCGCCCTCAACGTATCCACCTCCTGCAGTGCTCACATTCAAAACGTGCAAAGGATGCTACACAGCCTATCTAGGGTCTATCCTTGGTCCTGCCTCTATCCTGGGTTCAAGGAATCCCTCATGTGGCCTATCCTAGTTCATCAGGAGATTGCCTTGGGATTTGGAATCTGGGAACTTAAGAGCATTTGCCTTGTTTTATGCCTTGTTTTATCCTTCATCATGACCTACAAAATGTGTTTAACCCACCATGAGACTACTGCCAGATCTGACCAGGCCTCAAAAGATCATTTGTTAGGAATCTCTTACGTTTTGGAGAGATATTAGTCCTGGGTCCTGCAATGTGAACAGATTCAACTGAACAAATGTATGTAGCAAAAAGAATTTCAGGTCTACCAAAAGGTAAGTTCTGACATGGCTTCAAATGTATGCCTCACTTATGTAACCAATTATGTCAGTAATTACATATGATGTAGAGTCTAATTTATCAGCAGTTTGATAGGGACTTTGCTGTCTGGGTTAGGAATAAGTCAGAGTTTTGGAACTTGCATCAAAACGTCTTCCACCATGGTCATGGGAGTCAAGTAATGCGTCAAACTGTGTCTTTGAATTCAAGCTTCTAAAAATTACATTCTAGTTAATTTTTTATAACTCAAGCAATCACATGGAAAACAAAGTTTGTCATAAACACATAAAAAAGCTTCTAGGTGATATTGCTCTTATGCTCTTACCTCCTCGATCTCGAGCAGCTAAACTTTGACCCCTTCTTAATGTAATGTCCAGCTGGTACATTCCGGGATCAGCCAAGGGGACTTCTGCATTACTGGTTCCAGCAGTGTTTATTTTCTGGAAAACACAAAATATAAAAAATATTAAATTTATTATCTCTGTTCTATTTTTTCCAAAGGGGGACCATATGTAGCTTAACCCTAATTATAAGAATTACTCAATAAAATAAATAATCTTCTGATTTAATACAGTCTCATAATCACCTAGTTCTCCGAAGGTTTTGAAATTTATGAAATTCTCTAGACTCAAAATAAAAACATGGCAGTTACAGAAATGTCCTGTTTTAACTCAGATTATGGATAACAAATGGAATATAAAAACGTTTCCCATGGAAGTCTCCACACAATCCAACTAAGAAATATGAACATAGAAATACTGTGTGAAGTGAAAACATAATCAATGATGAGCGGAGAATAAGAACAAGAGCAGTTCACTTCTACCTAACCGGAAATTAAAATTAAAATGATTGATTCAGGTGACTGTTGACTCATTTATCTGTTCAGAAAAGCTCATACCTATGAATTAAGCACTTCAGCTTCAGCCCCAACATAAAATATAATTATATAGAAATAAATTCACCTAGCATTTTGGCAATATTTGCAAGAAATATATTCTCAATGGGGCTAAATTTCTAGTGCTGCTTTCTACAGAATAAAAGTGCATAAGCCATTCCTAGATCTAAAAATGTTTATGAGGCTGCCTCTATAGAATTTATTTTTAGCAACAATATACTCTTAATAATTTACTAGGCATTGAATTACAAGAGGAATAACTATATTAAAACAACATAAATGAAACATGTAGTGAAAATTCTTCAGGTCATATTTTTAGTCTCTGTCATTCTGTATACAATGGGAAAGTTTTCCTTTGTGTGTTTGGGATTAATTTAAATTCTTAAAATTTTTTTTCTGATTCAAAAGGAAATGTCCTTTTGTCTTAGAATATGCATGGATGAGGTAAAATAACAGACAGCAGTCTTTTAATTCCATAATTCACATAAAATGAAATAAAGCAGCATTTAAACAATCTTTAAGGTATATAATTCACATACCCGACATTTGCTCATTAAAGCAGCATATTTTTTTGAGGTTTTAAGATCAAGGCAAATAGCTTTGCTGTTGGAGCAATTATTATTTAAAACAAGAGGCAGCACAGCTTTGATTGATAACCTGAACTCATTGTCTCTCCTCTGGTAACAATAAAAAATAATTCACTTCACCTTCTCATGATATCCTTGTTTCTATAAATGATCCCTCAGTCACTCAGCCTATAAATCGCTGAGTCATCTTTGACTTCTTCATTTGATTCCCACCCACATCCAAATAGTTGTCAAATCCCCCCCACTCCATTTCTGTATGACATCTCCCAATTGTCTTTTTCTTTTAATTCCTATTACCACTCATTTGTATCAGGCCTTCGAACAACAAAGGAGTAAAAAGTAAAATGATTGTCTTGCTCTTCCCTTACCCATCTGATTGTGGCCACCAGTGACAACAATTTGGGAAATATTTTTCACACTTTTGAAAGTCTTATGAAAACATATACACATACATATAGCTTTGTTTTTTTGTGGTTGGGCTTTCAGTTTTCCCTAGTTTTAAACAAAGAGAGCATCATATTTCGTCTATTATGAACAACTTCTAGAAAAACATCATAGGCACTTTTCTAGTCAATACATATACATACACCTTTCCCTTTAAAACGTTCTAGCTTTATTGAGCCACAGTTGACAAAATTATATGATTTTCTGATATACAACATGATGATTCAATATACATATGTTTTGGGCAGTGATTACCACAATCAAGTTAGTTAACACATCTCTCACCTCACTTGTTTACCCTTTTGTTTTGTTTTGTTTTGTGGTGAAGACATTGAAGCGAATTTCAAGTATACACTTCAGTACTCTTAACCATTCTTTGCCATTTCCATTTTGATAAGGTTATTTCTAGTATAATGGACAAACATTATTTTGTAAAGTGACTTTATAGTCTGTCACTTTTCAAGTCATATTTTGGGTTGTCTGTGTATAGAAATCATATTATCTGTATATAATGCCTTTTTGACTCTTATTTTCTAATATTTCAACTGCTTATTTTTAAATCTTATTGTGTTATCTTCCAAAGACTGTTAGAAACTGGTGAAAACCATGAACATTTCTGAATTAGATTTGATTATAATGTGCATGCCTTTTAGTATTTCACAATTTAACATGACGTTTATGAAGCTTAGGCTTTTTCTTCTCTTAATTTATTTGGGCTTAAAAAAAAGCAGAGTTGAATTTTATCAATAGATTTTCAGCATACGTTAATAAGATCATACAGAACTTTTGTTGACAGATTTTTCTAACATTCAATCATCTGCATATTTCTGGAGTAGACTCTACTTGGCACTGTGAATTTGTTCACTCTAATGTACAATCATGATTATGTTCAAAACTATCTATCATACGTCAGCATACTTGAGCCTATCCGTACTTCTTAGGAAGGCATTCATAGCTCCCATGATATACTAGGTTGGTGCAAAAGCAATTGTAGTTTCTGCCATTAATTTCAATGCAATTACTTTTGCACCAACCTAACTCAAGCCTATCATTATAAACTGAGCCTTCACTTCTCTTCCACAAACTCTGGACCATTTTAACTTAATGGAATAGAATTTACACTTTAAAAACTTGTATCTTCATTCTTTACTCTTGACCAGGGCTGCCTTCCCTGCTTGTTTCCCGTGTCTTCCTACCCAGTCTTCAAGGACCATTTCACTAGCACTTTATATCTTCCTTTTCCATTACCACATTCTATCTCAAATGTCATATTTGTCATTTTAAATTATAAACCTTTCAAATCAGGGAATAGAGTATTTAAGCTTCAAATTGAAAATGAATTATGCTAGAGGCTACAAGGATAGAAAGAGGTCTTTACCAGCACCTGATCCAGCTGAGTAGAAACATCAATGGGGATCTAAATAAAGTTGGTGAATCCATGGGCAGTTTGTTCTCTCTCTTCTCCTACACTCACGTAATGCATCCAATTTGCTTTGGCACCCTGCTTGAGGAACCCAGGTATACCCTTAGAATCCTTCTCAATATAGTGCTCCAGGCAGCCATTACCAATTGATAAAAATGAGCACTTAAAATCAAACCCTGTCCACTCAGGAGCTGTAATAAAAGACTGACTGTAAAGTACTGGAGGTATGAAGTCATTGGGAGAGGACAGTGGATCAATTATGACGGGAGAAGACTCTCAGGAGGCCTCATGAAGATAACCACGGAGCAGGGTCTGAAAATATGTGCAGGACTTTGACAAGTGAAGATTTGGAAGGAGGGTGCATCAGGGAAAAATGCTCTGGAAAAATCAACATGAGCCCAATGGTAAGCAGTCACCAAAAAGCGCATCACTAGATTGCATGAGAAATAAGGTGGAAAGGAAGACTGATGTACAGTGAGGCCCAGCTAAGGAGGTGTCAGTCTGTAGGCAACGTCAAACCATCACAGGCTTCTGAAGACAGAAACAATAGAACCAGGCTCCAGGGAACACACACTTACTGCCTTACATGTTTTATGCTCTGGGCCAAATGCTTAGATTTTAGCGATGAACAAAACTCTGGCCTTTTCCCTCTGTAAGAGGGATGAGAGTAGAGAAATCCCATGGATCTAGAAATTATTTAAAAGGATTTACAACTGTTCAATTTAAGTCATTTTAAGTCAGTTTAAGTCTTAAACTGTTCAGTTTAAGAGCCTGATCTGACCAGTGGTAACAAAAACAAAAGATGGATTTGAGAGATTGAGGAGATTCGATCAACTGAATTTGCAACTGACAAGATGTGGGAGATGTGGGAACCAGTGGGCGAGTCACACCGAAGTTTGAGCTGTGCTCCTGGGAGAATGGTAACACCCATAGCAGACAGCAGAAATGAGAGGAGAAGCAACTACAGGCCACCACTGTGTCAGTTCCAGGGATCACCCAACTCCATCAAAGAACATCAAGAACTTTAGAGGATCTAGAGAGACATCTCTTCTCAGGCTCACTATAATGGTTCCAAGAAGAAAATCAGCTGACTGATTATGGAGGGATGCCGGAAACAAATGTGTATTTTTTATTGTAAAGTATCTTTTAAAAAGTGTTCGTGAAGCTTCCAAACATAAAGCTATCTTAGGAAATATGTATCTGAAGTGCTAGGCTCACATATATTAAAATCTCTAAAACAAACTTTGTTCACCTCTGAAATTTTAAATATCCTGAATGATATATCTAAGTTGTCTGCTCTCGTGGTCTGCTTTTTGTAACCAAGAAAATGGTACTTTCACAGAATTGAACAGCTGTAAGAAGTTAATGATCTGTGCAGTTATTTTTAGGGCCTGTCTTCCTGCTAACCTGTAAGCTCCATATACGCAGAGGCCGTGCTTGTTTTGTTCACAGGTGTATCCCTCCAAATCCCTGGCACTTAGCAGAGTTCCTGGCAAGGAGTAGGTGCTCAGTACATGTTTTTAAATGAATGAGCTAAGACATTAATAACTGATAAGAGCTTAATTTTTAAAACTCTTCCCAGGAGCGTTTGCATTTTCAGAGGTCAATTAGAGAAAGAGTAGCAATGAAAGACATGATTGTCAAATGGAGGAATCCTAGGTGGGAGGAATTATGGGCAGGAAAGCCAATTGGGCATTCAGGGAGTGCTTTATGTTTAACCTCTCCTTATTCTTCATTTATTATTTCAATGTGGTTTATTATGCCAGACCTTTAAATGCCAGACACCTTTGATAAGAGGTCTAGAACATGAAGCTTTAACATTTTGTAGGTTTAAATGCTACCTCCCTAATGAAGTCTTTTATATTACTCAAATAAAAGTTACCCTCTCTTCTCTCTGCTAGCCCATTCTTTTCTTTTCCTGCTTCTCTAGACTGGATTTCTTAAAGCCAAATGATGCATCATATAAACATTTAGATATTCAAGACATAAACTGGAGGGAACACTAGGTGCTCCTGGAATTAATCTCTCTTCTTTAATTGCTGTAATCTAGCTATTTCCTAGTATTCTACTTTTGAACATCTGTTGCAGAAA